TAAGACTACTTTCTTCATTACACATTATCATATATTTTACACAAATAAGCCCTGGATTTTAAGACCACCTGTCGTGACAAGCCATATTTTTGATAAAACATTATTATTGACCACTGGGCCCTTTCACCTAGCACTGCTTGTATGGGCCTGTATCATAGTATTTAGATTACAGGAAGCACCAAATATTTACAAGCTACAGATTTTATGAAAATCTGTGCAACATAATTGTGACAAGGTACATTGTAAATATAAGTGGTACTAACCAGATATAAAATGGGAACTGCATAGTCTATGGTATGATGATGATTTCCAAGCCTTGTCAATGTTTTTCGGGTCTCCATGTTTTACTGCTGTAGTTCATTTAACTCTACATACTGGATCTTTTGGAAACCTATAAAACAATAACTCCAGATTCTTTATCTGATTGTTTGTACAACTAACTGTCATTTCAAATACTTGATCCCAAATTCCAATACCAGCAACTACATTGGAATTATTAGATTGTCTCTATGCTATGTTCAAAATGGTGGTGTTTATTTTCAGCTCGCTGGTAATATATGCGTGACGTCACGTGCATAGGATCTATAGGATTTTTACAACATACTTTGATTTTATTTATTTCAGAAACAGAAAAAAAATATTGAAAGTGTTCTATAGTTTGAAAAAAGGTTGCATGTTCCTAAAATAACAGACACCAGCATTGATGAATCAGATGAAGAGGATGTAACTAAGAAAAGTCGACTCTTCAATAGTATGTTATAAAAGGATTATTACTCTGGCAATGCATGAATGTGTATGCCTGTTAACAGTAACAAAACATATAGCTGAGTGAATTAAAACCTGTTTGCATGTTATGAAGTTTTACTATACTATTGCTAATTTTGTGTTAAATTTTTTTATTGCATATACTAAGTTATACTGCAGCATTTTTAATGCACTTTCAAAATGCCGAGTTTGCTTAATTAAAATATTTTTAGTTAAAGCATTAAGAATTTGTTCCAAGCCCTTTATTTCAGTTAGTTTGAGGAAATATTGCTGTTTCACTTACTACTAAAAAATTATATATACTTTTGTAAACATTTTTTCATTTGAGACATACATTATATGAAATAGATTTCACTGATTTATGCATCTGTCAGTCTCTAGAATCAAGAGATGTATCAAATTTCAAAGACAAAAATCTGTTAAAAAAGAAAACTTATTACTTTTGTGATGAAAGCACTCCCTGTAAAAACCAAAAGCAAATCAACCACCTGCATTGTAAGGGTTTTATTGTATGAAGAAATATCTGATGATGATGACACAGATGACAATATTATCCCAAAAAACCTCATGATGAACTAGAAGTAAAAATAAAGTAAGCAAAAAGTTACAAAAGATATGGAAGACTTAAAAAACAAAACAAACAGCTGGACAGTGAAAACAAATGTTTGAAAAAATTAAATTTTGCCCTACAGGACTGCATTGTTTCAAACTTATGAATGGTAAGCATTTGGCTTATCATGAATAAAATTAATATAAACAACATGTGCTTGTCTGTTGCAGTCATCTTTATGCTTATTGCTTTGTACTAAAATAAATATTGGCTAAACTTGCAAGTGGAAAATCCAATATGAAAAAGAAAACCTGAAACTTGTGTTCTTAATTGAATTGTTCTTATCTCTCTATCTAATACATTTTGATTTGTTTGGTCTAACTTGGAAAATGAAATTATTTTAGGATTTTTAAAATTTTATGAATTTGCAAATGTAAATCTTCTACAATTATATAGGTGTGGTATTATAGAAACAGTGCATTTACATAATGATTTGTGATATTCAGATGTAGTTGATAGGCTTATTGTGGAACTTTGAGATGTAATGTTGTTACATTACTATACATTTTGTATACTCCTTGTAATATCTTTGTTCTTCCCAGTACCTGCAAGTGGGAATAACATACCAGAGAAAAGTTTACTCTCTCCCAATAATAGAGCCAACAATTTTAAAAGTGAAATCTGCTTGTCACCATTCAATAAAGCAACAGAAGTACCACATTTTATATTCAAGTAATTCTCTTAAACACAAATATGATAGTCATCTTAAATGTTTAAACCTTTAAGCTACCATATTCATATTATTGATCTTTAACTTTGTAATTTCTATAAAGAAATTAAGATACAGTTTCTGTACAGACGTTTATTGATTAGTGACTAAAATCAGTGTGCATTTATTATAATTATGAATAAATGATGACTCTTGAAGCTTCATAATTTAATGTATTCTGACATGCTATAATATTTGTAAAATGGGAAAACTATCACTACTGCAGTTAGTGTTTTTTAGTGTTTCAACCAGGATTATACAGTACTTCGTAGAAAGTTCTAGGCCTCAGTTGGGCAATATATACAGGGTGTCCCAAAAAATGTATACACATTTTGAATGATTATAAATAGAATGTTTATTAAGATATATCTGAGTTTTATAATCCAAGTTAAAAAAGACAAGTGTAGAATATTTTGAGTTATTGCAGGTGTTTGAACTGATCACCGTTCTGGTCCAGGCACTGCTGATGATGATGACAGATGGAACTGCAAACATCACAAATCATTTCATTTGGTATTTTGGCACATTCTCTTTCAATTGCTTCTTTCAACTCATTGATTGTTGCAGGTTTTGTGCTATAAACCTTATCTTTGAGGTATCCCCATAAAAAAAATCTAGTGATGTGAGGTCTGGTGAATGTGGGGGGAATTCAATGCTACCTCTTCACCCAATGCATCTGTTCAGTAGATTTTCATCAAGATAGGCCCTCACATCACGATGGTAGTGGGGAAGTGCTCCATCTTGCTGGAAATAAAACTCCTCATCTCAAAATTGCTCTCGATTGCATGGCATGATGGATTCCTGCAGCAAGTTCAGATAAATAGCACCAGTGACTGTGTTTTCGAAAAAAATGGTCCAATTACACCCAATGCTGATAATCCACACCATACTGTAATCCCTGGAAAGTTTACGTGGTGTTCAATCGTAACATGCGGGTTCAGAGGTGCCCAGTAGGTGCAATTGTGGTGATTAACTGAGCCATTATGATAAATTGTGTACCTATACTATGATTATTGTGTAAAATGTTGTTAAATAAAAATATATTCTGATAGTATTTTGTGATTCACTGTAGCATTTCTCTTTTATCTAATATGAAACAAATATTCCTTATATGTTAAAAAGAAAAACATAAATGACACTGAACATGAAAAAATTAAAAACTGGTGAATGGATCTATTGGGTTAACCAGTAACAGGTAAAACCAGCAATGCACCCAGGAACTGCTGGGAGGACCAGTAATATTTGTTACAATACCCAATTATTGTTAGTGACTAGAAACCCAGCATTAGCTGGAATTTTCAATAGGGGTAGCAAACTTTGCTGAAGAAATAAATAAATTATTACATGAACTGGACTTGGCATAATTTTTATGAAGTAATTCAAAAGAACTCACCCAATGACTGAACATGTTACAACATTACAAACAGTTCATTATGGTCTTAAAGACATTTTAAAATGAATTAAAGAGATCAACATTTGCAGGCAAATGCAACATGTCTCCACCACACATGGCCAATTTTGAATAATCCAGAATAATCATGAAAAACACATAAAAATCAAAAACTGTTTATATCACTGCTTGGGACCTGCAACAAGGTATCTTTGTACCAAATCCCATGTAAGTTGGTTGACATACACATGAATAGTTCATGAAAACCCCAAATTGTGCATTCCTTGCTGAAAAATTGAGCAAAAGAAAAACATTCTAAAATTGTCTGTATGTCTGTTTGGAACCCGTAAAAATGTATCTTTGTACTAAATTCAATGTAAATTGGTCAAAATATGGTGTAATAATTGTCAAAAAAACCTAAAATAATGCTTTTTTGTGGCATCTTGACCCACATTATAATTGCTAAAAATGGACAAGTCTACTATTTTTGTTTGTCAATGTATGGGACCTGTAGAAAAATATCTTTCTACCACACCTCAAAAAGTGCTTTTTATTGAGCTATGACCCCCTAAACAGATTAAAGATAGGCAAACCCAACAGTTTTGTACGTCAATGTTGGGTACATGAAAATTTATATTTGTGTCAATTTCCATCTTGATTACTGTAAATATGACTGTACTGTTACTATACATTTTTAGGTTGTATTACCTTTGACCCCATAAAATTCTTAAAATAGCTAAATCAAAAACTGAAAAGGTGTCTTGGTGTGTACTTGATCAAGTTTCAAGTCAATCTGCACAGAAAGGAAGGAATGGCAGTCAATAGAAATGTGCTTGGAAGAAGGAACAATAGAAAAATAGTACATCTCTCTGCAGAGACATCATTATTATTAAGAGTTTATATTAGATATGAGTTGAAAAATCTTCACCACAGTATATTATATTTCCCTTGTCTAGAATGTAATGTGTGTTCAAAATTAACTATATCACAAATGTTTTGTTTATGTTCCCCAATAAACTATTATTAGAAAAAAATACAAGCTAAAAAACAACTGAGGCTTTTGAATTAGTTTCAAATACTATAAAACTTACATTACTTACAATATTTTTGACAACATTTTAGTTGAAGAATTACTGGATGTTTGGGTTTTTGTCTGACTGTTAGTTTTCTTTCATTCCTCATAAAAAGCTGCACATTTGCTCAAGTCATCTAATGAAAGACATTTCTTGGTTTGTTTTGAATTTTGCAAAAAGCTACGTGAGGGCTATCTGCACTAACTTCCCCTAATTCAACAGTGAAAGACTTGAGGGAAGGCAGCTAGTCAACATCATCCACTGCCAACTCTTAGGCTACTCTTTTACCAACAAACGGTCACATTATAATGCCCCTAAGGCTGAAGGGGCAAGCATGCTTGGTGGGAGACACATCTTGAGGCTATTATACTTTACTACAAAGAAAAGAATAATTCAAATCACAATACATGTACATATTTCTTGAAAGTGAGTAAATTAACAAAATTAACTAACCTGTTATTTTAACTTCGTAATATCTTGGTACCAATGCACTATAACCTTTAATACACTCACAAGCTTCTGGAAATGTAACTTTGTGTTTTTCCACAACCCTCATCACTGGATTGACAAAGACCTTTGAAATATTCAAGGAATGTATTTTGTATGAATACTAGTTGGTTCTTTTTTTTACTTAAAAAAATTTCTGGTCAAATAAAAAACAAAATATTTCCACTTATGAGCATCCTTTCAGATAGTTTCAAAAAAAAGGTGATAAACTTTTAATTAGAGTTAGTGATTAGTGGAATTTTATTAGGCTAACAAGTGGGTTTTAATACCTGCAAGAGGCAGATCACAGATATCCACTAGTATAGTTTTTGTGCTTAACAACAAAAAAACAGACCAGAAATATTTCAATTATACAGATAGTTGAAATAATCAAAAATAGTAATAAATTGTAAGATAGTCACTGAGTATCTTCAAGAGTCATCATACTAACTGATTAAGCTGAACAAATTTGAATTAATCAAAAATAATGAAAAATCATAATGGAAATATTATAATAACTGAAAACATTAGTTGATTGTTTTTGTAATAGTAATCAATTTAACCACAATTTTGACTAATTGACTATTTTATATGGCACTAATCAATGTAATCAATGCTCTACTTTTAATAATATCAAACATGTGCCAGTCTTTATTAAGACAAGCACATGCAAAATGAGGAATTTATGTAGCATATCAAAGTTATGATTTTCCTTACCTAGAAATGTACTTCCGATAGTTAGTCACCTCAACACAGAACAGATAGCTAATATCTTGTGCCACTGCTGAAAAGTGTTTGCATATGTTGCAAGTTTTTTAACAAGATGTGTGGTCCAACACATAATAATGTCCACTGTGCCAATCTATGATGCAATCAGTATTAGACTATATCCCTCTACCAATAGGAAAGCAACATTCACCATGCACACTACTCCCCTATAACATTTTATTTATACCAAAAGTTTATTCTTGAAGAGGCATATTAAAAACACATACATAGTGGAGAAGTAGAGTGGATGGTTCTGTAGAGAGGTATGTATGTATTTGAAATGCATTTTCAGATAATGGAAATGTTAACTTTAAAACACTACTCACCTCTTCACAGAAGAGACGGCTAGAATCTCGCATTAAGATACTGAATGGACAGGTGTAGAGAAAGAAATTTAAAAGATGTGCTCCATTCTGAGAAAATATTAACCAAATTTTTTTTTTAATTTAAAGTGATGCTCCTACTGGGGAGAAGGGCTAGTGGGAGCATCACTTGGTGGAAAACCACATCCATCTCAAGCAAGTAATACTGTTCACTCAGTACAAGTGGTAGAGTAGAAAGGTTCTGTCAAAAGAATTACCTGCATGGTGCTAAAGGATCAGAATACCATGGGTTAAGTGTGGCTACAAATCATAAAGTATTGTGAGAAATACTTTAATGATGTACTTAAAAGAATATGCAGGGATAAATCATTTCAGACATGTGTCCCAAATACAAGCCAAGGCCTTTTCGGCCAGTCACAACCACCAGGAATGGTTTGATCCTTGGTGCTGGAGGCGGACTATATATATGTACACTTCCAGATAGATCCCTGCCATACTTACAACCTAGGGGTGTGTCTAGTTTGTTTCATACCAGTGGGATTACACTATATTGACCAGCCCAGTAGCTTGATACTGTAGAATAAATTGGGAGGGAGGAATCTGAATAGCAGAGAAAACTGGAGAGGTGCATGAAATAAAGAGGAGTAATCTCATCATCTGTATAAGGGTTTAAAATGTGACACCGTGAAATGGGTTATATTGAACAAAGACAGCTTTTTAATTTGCATGTGCAGTAAGGCTTGGAAGGAAAAAAAAAAACTTCCAAAGGTAGTCTTGTGTAAAACCCCATCTCTATAGTGGGTACTGTTATACCATATTCCGTGTAGATTTTGGGAGAGAAAGGTATTTCCTTTGAGGCAACAATGGTCTCATAGCTTCCATTGTCTCTAGTATTATTTGTCAAGAAGCATGAGTTACTTTTAATTAATACTGAGGTGTAAAAGGCAAGGCTGCAACAAAAAAAAGTAATCAATAACTCAATCTGGGAGGACTAGAGAATGTTAAATGGAGAGAGATGAAACACAGCGACTGCTGAAACCACAATGTGGTGTAAGTTATATGATAGAAAGGTGGAACTGAGGAAAACAATTTATATTTCAAAAATATTTCATTTATTATGAACATGGTTTCACCAGTATAGGAATTATCAAGTATAGACTAAAAGAGCTTGTAAACAAGTAGATACAAGTTTAACTAATGAATCTCAGTAATCTTGACATTCACTCTGAGGCAGTCAGGGGGAGGAGGTTATGTTGACATGTTAAAAACTATGTCTGGATTAATTTTTTTATTCTGTTTATTTCTACATTTTCCAGATTATTTACTTTACCTTTTTCACAGACATGCATAAATTTACAGCTTTTCCAGAATAAATAGTTTAGCTTCCATAAGATGAGATGAAAAATTTGACACCATTTTAACCAATTTCCGACTTCTTGGATGTTCTTTAACTCTTGTTTTTATGGGATATTCTGTCTTACCTATATATGCATTATTGCAATCTTGACACGTTAATAGGTAAACATCACTATGTCTGCACTTTTCAATTTCAGCTTTGTTGTTACATAACATTTTGCCCAGATTGTTTTTACAGCAGAAAGCCAGTCTATAGATTTTTTTGTTCAGCACATTATATAGTTTGTGCTAAGGTCTAACAACATAACTTAAATTACATTATTTTTCTCTTTTTGTCATCATTTGATACAGTATATGGTTATTTTAAGTATATAGTTTTTAATTTTTAAACATTTTAATTGACAATGTATAACCATCATTGACAGCAATTTGTATTATTATTGTTAATTCAGTTTCATAATCTTTAGATGACAAGGCTACAGTGATAACTCTGTGTAATAAAATAAGGAAAATCACAAGTTTGTGAGACACTGGATGTATTGAAGAGGTGTTAGGTTCTTAGCAAAAATAAAGTTCATCCTTGGGAAGGACAGAAAAATTATTTTAAAAAATCGACAAGTGGGTTGTTTTCTTAACAAATAAAACTTGTCACAGCTGTGCAGAAATGTAAATGTAATCTTATTAAAAGTTTTCTTTACAATCTACACTAAATAAATGTCAGAAGATAAACAAACTATCAATACTAAAATATTTTGGGGATAAAATTTCTGAAATATAGTTAGAATTAATGTATAAAATGCTGAAAAAATATGAGAGTCAGACTAATTCCTATCTTCAAAATTCAGATACAATAATTTGGAATTAAGTACCTTTTTTAATCCTAACCTCTGTACGTTAAAATGTATCATATAAGCAAATTAATACAATTGCATTGTTTAAGGTTTAGAAACAATGAATGATTTGTTCATTTATCAGCCACCAGTTGCAAAAATACTATGTACACTTTTCCATACCTGTCATTCCAGACAATTCTGTATTGTTTTACTTGTTCATAAGTACAACTACCACAAGGATTGAAGCCTTAAGTATTGTATTCATAACTGAGTAATTATTTAAATGCTTTCTAAATCAATCATACCTTATCATATTAATTAGGCAAATTTGTACTTAGTCAAAGTAAAAACCTAGTAGTTCTGGATATTCTTTAAGTAGCCTAAATTTAAAATCAAACAACATATAAAATAGCAGAACATCAATTTATTTTGTATATTTTAAAAAGTATGAAAATCAATAGGGATGAATAAAAATAAAACTAGAAAGCCTATTCAGATAATATAGTATTATTATGTGGAAAAGTTACAATAATTTTTAACTTCTCCATGCTATATTTTTAATTTTTACAATGATGATATGAAACCAGTATTTTTTACATGAGAGAAGAGAATTCCACAATAATAATGTAGTATTTTGTACTAATCAATGCTGAAAATATAGTCTTAAAGTAATCTGTATAAGTAAAATATAGCTAAAACAACATTAATATATTCTGTAAATGATTACCTCAGCCACGTTATTATCCAATGATTTCAAAACTTTTATATTTATTTCTAGTAATATGATTAATATGAAAATAGAAACAGTTAAAATATTTAAAGAAATATTGCATCAATTTGTAAGTAGGTTTGTTTGTTTGTTTGTAATTAAGCACAAAGCTACACAATGGGCTATCTGTGCTCTGCCCACCATGGGTATCGAAACCCAACTTCTAGCGAATTCTATTACTATGCCACTGGGGGGCTTGTAAGTAGGATGCTGTTTTCAAAAAGTTCTTATTTATAAAGTCATACCTCTTGCATTTTCACTTATCTTGGACATTAACATTATGAAATCCATCTTTCCCACTTGAATTCTAACTTATAAACAATAAGTGATTTTGTAAAACATCTATGTTATAAGATCCACAGGTGTTCTAAAAATACTAAGTTTGATAATAACAAAACTTTAAACTCTAAACAGATTGTTAATTTTTGGAAAAAGCCAAGACAAAAATATATCAAGGAACCTTAAAATAGCCTTTATGGTAATTATATCAAATAAAAACACTAACATCTAATGTTTTTTTTGATACTATATATATATTATATTTTAAGAAAGTCTAGCTATTTTATAAATTTCTGAAAACAATAGAGGGGTCTTGCCTGTACCCCACGGGAATCAAGATCTAGATGATGGTAGGATGGACACCAATGTGGCAGTTCAACTATAGTTCAAAACCAGGTGGCATTGAGAATGAATCGTCCAGTACATAACACCTGGGGCCCACACATGTGAGGACTTATGTGGCTGCTTCAACTCCAATCAACACCAGTACCCACCAGGAGCCAACATCCGGACAACAGTGGGAAGGAGGGTGCCTAACCAGAGGGATGAATTGTATTTTGGCTGAAATCATCCAGTCCATAACCAGACAGCATCTAAAATAGTACATGAGGTCTGTGATAGGAGGAACATCTATACACCATCCTACTCTCAACTGAGAGGAATTGAGCACATTCAGGAGGAAGCCTCCATGGTCCACCAACCCTGTAGCTAGGAGCTGGTAAGTGGTAAGTACTCCCCCATACTCCACTGGAAGAAGGGT